TCTGCCCCGAACCTGTTGCCTCATTTGTTACAAAGGGCTTCACTGTCTACCCAGTGTCTGAGCCAGAAGCCTGGGGGACATGCTAGTTACGTCCCTCTCCCCTGAGGGCTCTCATCAAATCAGGGACTGGATCTCAGTGGTTCCAACTTCACCTCCCAAAACTCTCCGGAGCTCTGGTCCCATCATACCTGCCCTTCTCAGCTCTCCTGAGGGTCGGGATGAGCCTGGCTGCTCTTCCTGCCTCCAGTCTCACACCTTCTGGTGTGTCCAGATCACGAAGCAGCCACGGTGATGTTGAAAGCGCCTCCCAGGTCCTATCAGGCACCCTGTGATCTGGCTCCTGCTTATTTTTCTCTATAGGCCTCACTGACTTTGGCCACACCAAGCCACTTGACATGTCCCTAGATGTGCCTACCTCACACTCCCAGACAGACAGGGAGGCAGAAGGGTCCCAGCAGAAGCAGCAAACACTTTTCCACCTTTTAGACTCAGTTCAAGCATCTCCACAAAGTTCTCTCTCCTGGATCCCCAGCTGGAATACCACCTTCTTCCTTCGTGCTCCTATTATTCCTTATACAGGCTTCCAGCTCAGTACCCTTAAACCACTACTGGTCTACTTGATTTCCATATGTGCAAGCTCTTTACAAAAATGTACAAGCCCTAAAGACAACTGGCCCCATCAGCCTCGGGATACAGGGAGCAGAAGAAGAAGTTCTGAAACCAGAGGAGGCGTCATTCTAAGGAAGTAAGAAAAACACACTTACTTCAGAATGATCACTAGATGAAGCTTAAAGCAAGCTGAAATCTTTGTCTCTCTGGAAGAAAGAGTTAAGAACATGGAAAAGCGGGGAGACTGGAGTAAACCTAAGGGGCTGGACTCAAAGCATCAGTGTGAATTCATGATTTTCAGTATCTATTTATGTCAGGTATCTCTACCCTATCTTGTTTCTATAAACTGCTACATATTTCTTTGAACTGTTTGGTGAGAGCCTAGAGGCAATGACATTCCAGTAACAATAAGCACATTTCGCACCTAGATCTAGGTTTCTAAATACCATTCTCTGGTCAGGTGTGGCTCAAGCCTGTAATCCTAGCACTTTGGGAGGCCGAGGGGGGTGGATCCCTTGAGGTCAGGAGTTCGAGACCAGCCTGGCCAACATGGTGAAACCCCCATCTCTACCAAAAAGTAACCAGGTGTGGTGGTGGGTGCCTGTAATCCCAGCTACTTGGGAGACTGAGGCAGGAGAATCACTTGAACCCAGTAGGTAGAGGTTGCAGTGAGCTGAGATTGCGCCATTGCACTCCAGCCTGGGTGACAAGAGCAAGACTCCATCTCAGTAATAATAATCAAATCAAATAAAAATAAATGCCATTCTCTATTATAAGGAAACAAGACTCCTGGAGAAATGGCTGATTCCAGTCTGCCTCCTTTTCCATGTTGTTAAATCCTTCCTGCAGAGAGGGCTGGGGCAGGGAACATTCCAGATGAGCCTGGAACATCTTGTTATACCAGAAGGTAAGAAAGGGCTGAAAAATGATGGGGACAAGCTAAAAACACACAAGAGGCTGATCTAAATCTGGGACAATTTGAGAACCAAGATAAAATCAAAGCAATGGCCTGCATCTTTGAGTAAAATAGGAATCCCTGTATCCACACTGATAAACAAGTGAATACATAAATGGTGAGAATGGATGTTTTCTTTATAAGTGGAATGCCAGCTGATAAATGTAGACAGCATTATGGAGTTAGGAAATCGTGTTGGTCAGTCATGACAGTAATAACTCAGACAAGACTAATCAACTGGTACTAAATAGTGAATGAGAAACAAAATACTTATATGGTCTCAAAGTATCTCCCCACAAATTGCTTGTTAATTACAAAGGGAAAACTGTACATTTAAAATGAAATCTGGCAGACATCAACCCAACCAAGTGAACAGACTTAACAACATTAACAGGAGCAACTGACATGATATGCTGATTACGTGGCACTTAGGACGCATGGCTTCTGATACTCCTGCCCAGAATGCAGAACCCTAATCTAGTCATGCGGAACCATCACACAAATGCAAATTGAGGAACCTTCAACAAAACAGCCTGTAGTCTTCAAAAATGTCACGGTAATGAAAGACAAAGAAAGGCTGAGGAATTTGCAGTACTGAGAGAGACATATTTACTAGTAAATGTAACACATGATCCTGCACAAGGAAAAAGAATAGCCACAAAGGACATTATTGGGCTGACAACATTTAAACATGAACCACAGGTTAGATAACAGTATTAAATCACTGTTCAACTTCCTGATTTTCAAAATATTACTTAAAAGAATACTTACAGATTCTTAAAAGATTTCTCTCCTTCTCTTAGAATAGAATGTTCTGTTAGGGAGATGCATACCGTTTTTGGGCATAATGGGGTACCTTGCAAATTACTCTCAAATGGTTAAAACAACATAAAATACAGATAAGGCAAATAAGGGATAAATTGTAAACACTTGCTAAATTTGGATAAAAGATATATAGGAGTTCTCTGTGATAGTCCTGCAACTTTTCTGTAAATCTGAAATTATATTAAAAATTTGAAAGTTACCAACAAAACAAAACAACCCCCGACCAAGAATCCAACAACAAGGGATGAATGAAAATTATGGTACAGTCACCCTATGGAAGCCTTCAAATAACACAGCTTTACAAATCAACTTTGTGAAGCTATATAACAATATGGAAATATGCTTATAACATGTACAATATTGAATGTCAAAAGCAGGATACAAAATATTTTATGTGTATATTATTACAACTATGTAAAAGCAAGCATATGATAAAGACTGGCAGGATAAAACCAAAGCTGATGATAAGGATACTGAGGGGTAGAGAGAGTGACTTTTTCCAAAAAATTCACCTGTTAAAATCCTCGCAGCACTGGCCCTTCCCCTGGGGCTGAGTCCCTGCACAGGAAATCAGCACGTTTCCTTCACTTCCTTGCCTCAGGCTAGCTTGCTCCAAATCTTAGCCCCTCCACTAAGGAGAACTGATAGAGCAGGACCTGGGGCCCCTGTGGCCGAAGCGTCTTTGGGCTGGAGGTGGCAAGGCTCCCACAGCGGCAGTCAGCAGCTCGAGCTCACAGAGGAGCTTCAAAGTCCACGCTGATGAGTACAGCTTGAGCAGCTGTGGACACAGCTAAGGGGGAAGCCCAGCCTTGACTGACCTGAGACTCTGGCCTCCCCTAGCCAGACTGGCAGAGATCTGTGTGAACACCCTTTGGCCGTGCCTGGCGGCTCCTGCTGGCAGGCTACCTCCTGGGCACAGACAGTAGAGCTTCTTTGAACCTCCTACGGCTAAGGAGAAGGGATGGCTAGATCAGATCACCCTATCTAGAGGCAGAGGGCATGGCTTTCATGTCTGTGGAGATAAAGCATCAAGCCCTTATCAGCCCTTCACACCTTCACACAGTCTACTGAGAATGTGTTTTGATGGGTGACAAAAATAGGTTTATATATAAGACTTGCCATCAGAGGGCAAGACTCAGAGAGCCCTGAGCAGCTTAGGGAAACAGGAGGAATAAAAGAGAAAGGCTCTTGCTTAACAATGGGGATATCAAAGAAAAAAAAGAGAAAGAGAGAGAAAGACAGTCTCTGCCTCCTTTGCAGGAGAATAGGTTTGCTCCTCTTATTTTAAGAGATGTTTTTAAAACTCCTTCCCTTAAGAAGTGGGAATATGAAACAGATTGAGATCCTCAGAACAGGTAGCTGAGGTAGGCAGAGAGAAAGAAACCCCATTTCCAGAGGGAAGCAGCAGCAAAAACTTGTGAACGGTAGAGAAAAACTTACTATACCTGGGCAACTTCTTGGTTAGGAGTATTCCAGACCTGATTCCCAACTGTTCCCAGCCTAAGCAAAAAGCACCACCATTCTGAGTCATGTGACCTGATTTTAAAATATTTTATTACATAACCTTTTCATGGCACCATCAGGAGTAACAGAAAACGTTATTCCCAGTTCCTAAACCACATCCTGAAAAATATACATTTGTATTTATATATTTATATCAATACTCCACCCCATCCCATAATTCTACCACCTATTGTAGGTCTTTTGCTTAAAGCAGGAAACTATTCTCTTAGGTAAGAAAATATATATGGAAACTAAATGAAATAATGGTCAGAGTAACTGGGGACAGTGGTCATGAGGACAGGGAAGACGGGGTTAAGTCCAGCCTAGGCAAGATGCAGGATGGGGGCGGTCCATCAAGGTGGAGGAGGACAGTGTATAAAAAGGCAGCGTCACACAAGTGGGCTCTGGGTCCTTGGTCCATTAGGAGATGGCCTTTGCCTCAGGAAGGAAGGCTTCCCAGTACTTTGCCAGCTGCAAAGAAGTGGGGACAGTAAGCAAGTACCCCCACCTAGTGGCAGAGCCTGAGCCAGCCTGGGAGGAAGCAAGCACAATGTCGTGGTGCTCCCCAAGCACCTCCACCCCACAAAGGCAGGCTCCCAGCAGCTGTACACACCACATAACCCTCACACCTCCTTCTCACCAGGGGAAGCAGCAGTTCCTGAGCCCCAAGTGCAAGGCCAGTCTCTGAAGACAGTCTTGGCTCCAACCCAGAGGGAGCACCCCTGTGGGGGCCACAGCTTTCCTGGCTCAGTTAGCTCCTCACAGTGGGGCCATTGTTTCACATACTGATGAGGCCTTAGCCTCAGGAGGGCCAGGTGGTATCATGGGGTGGCTGCTGGAAGGCTAAGCAGTTACAGGGAGATGGAGTTTGTCCTCAAAAACTTAAGTCACCTCAGGATGAGGGCAGCAGCGCCGCACCCTCCTGCTTAATAAAACATCCTGTTGGATGCTCCATGTCAGAGCAGCAGGGGTTATTTTCAATGATCGACTGTAGGAGGGCCCAGCCCCTCAGAAGCAGGGCCTGCGTATCTTGTTGCAGAAGCCCCAAGGAGGCAGCCGGCCTTTGGAGCGGGCAGTAGAGGATGAAGGTCAGGCACAACTTACATACCTGCTGCTGTGAGTAAAGGAGTGTCTCAAGGTACTTGATCACGTGGTTCTTGAAGTCCTTGGATTTCTCTTTCTAGGAGACAAGATTGTACACTGACCGACCAGTTTTTCCCTTCCCTTTTGATGGGTTGGTGGTGTTTACTGCTGACCAAGGCCAAACATAGTCTCAGAAAGTAGAAGCAGCAGGGGAAATAGCTGTAATTTCCAGCCAAAGAGGCTCTGCCAAGGCCTTGAACGGCTTTGTTGGAGGGCAGGAGATGGGAAGTGGAGGAGAAAGGACGGGGCTGAAGGTATGTGGCAGCTGCAAGCTTTGTGTCTAATTGCTCTGGTCCAGTCACAAGTGTAAGTGTGCCACTGTGCCTACGAACAAGCACCTCCCCACCCAAAGAAGGCCACGCCTGCTCATGAGAATTGCCAAGTCACCGGCACCTCTATCTCCTTACCCAAGAGTTCGACAAAACAAGCACTGCACGCTAAGTGAGAAGTAGGATCTTCCATCTCACCTCAAATCGTATCACTTCTTTTCGGACCACTGTTGAAATCCTCTCAAAGTCCCTTTCATACTGAGTCACCCGAGACTCCCACTGGGAAGAAAGAAACGATCACCTCGTATTATGGCATCATTATTAAGACTTCACATTTGGACAGCAATTTTACTTGAGTTATTGATTGATCATTATGTCTTTCTGTCCCTGTGGATAAGATGAGGTGTCACAGGGGATTCTGCATGTAAGTCAAAGTCTAGCAGAAGGCCACCTTAGGGGCTGGCTGGAAAAGAGATGCCTGTGCTCCAGGCATCTGGGACCAAGCCTGGTCCTTCAAGAAAGCGCTGGTGCTCCAGCAGCCTCCAGGTTAGGTACTCACCAGCAGCAGTGATAGGCCTGGAAAACCTAATTTAGTTCTCATGAGAAGGCATATCTGAATCAGCTAGGAAGCTTTTCAAAGACCAAGCCAGGACCCCTCCTGCAGAGACTTTTTTTTTTTTTTTTGGAGATGGAGTCTCACTCTGTCATTCAGGCTGGAGTGCAGTGGCTCCATCTCGGCTCACTGCAACCTCCTCCTCCCGGGTTCAAGCGATTCTTGTCCCTCGGCCTCCTGAGTAGCTAGGACTAGAGGCGCACATCACTATGTCCAGCTAAATTTTTTTGTATTTTTAGTAGAGACGGGGTTTCACCATGGTGGCCAGGCTGGTCTCAAACTCCTGACCTCAAGTGATTTGCCCACCTTGGCCTCCCAAAGTGCTCAGATGACAGGTGTGAGCTAGCATGCCGGGCCAGAGATTCTGATTTGACAAGTCTGGACAGAGTAGGAAGAGAACAGGGCCGGCAGGCTTCAGGAAGGCCTGGAGTCATTCTCAGAGGCTTCCTCAGCAGCCACAACCCTTTAGACTCAATCAGCACTCTCGCCTGCTGTGGGGTTCCAAGCCTCTGGTGGGGATGGGAGCTGGGTTCATTTGGAGCCAATAGAACCAACCCCCCGACCCCCCACCGGCTGGGCTGCCTCAGGGGACTCACCTCAAGGATCTCATCCTTGGCCTGCTGCAGCTTATCAGGCTTGTTGGCCCACAGCAGTCGAGCCTCAGCCTCCCGCTTCTTCTGCAGTGTGGCTTGGGCATCCTGCCAGCGCTGCCATGTCTTCATGCGCTGGTCAAAGGCAGCCTGTGGGGGTGGGGTTGAGAAGGAACACAACCAGCTCTTCAAGAGCTCTGCTGTCTCTGCCTCGGGGCAGGCTCTCCCAGCAGCTGCGCCAGGGACAGATGGAGCAAGGCGTTCTGCAGCCACATGTTAGTGCCTGGCTGGGAAGTTTAATGTCTAGGAGCAAAGCCTGGGTAAGACTCCTCTCCAAGCTTTCAGGAGGCCAGCGCCATGCTGCTTCATGCTACTCCCAGGGCTGGATGGCAGGGAGCCAGTAGGTGGCCTCATGCCAGTGACCAATACTATGCCTTACAAAAGTACCTCCCTCAGACCGGTCAGTTCATAAGGCTACAGACTTTCCCTGAGTGCCTGCGACATGCTCGGGGCTAAGAATACAGTGGATGAAACTCGTGGTCCCGTTTTCATGGAACTTGTCATCTAATGGAAAGGGCCACCATTACATTCACAATTACAAATAGATACTTATAAGTATGCAGACTACTGGGAAAGCAGCAGGGAACTAGGGTCCTAGATTAGCCTGGGAAATATGTCAGGGAAGTCCACGCTAAGGACGCAGGCTTGAAACTGACACCCAAATAATGTACAAGGTTAGCTTAACACATTTTAAATCAACCCTTCAAACCTCCAAAGGGCCACACTGCTTCTTCCCAACCGCACACTCCCCAGCTCTAGGCTACCAAGGCCTACAAGAAGCTCCCCAAAATCTGCTTGCTAGTTTTCCTTGTTTCCAGTTCCCTAACCACAATCAACATTTCCAGGGGAGGAAGCTGTTGGCCTGACTAACCACACCCATGGATTCACTTAATATGCAGCAAGCAGCAGCCTCAGTCAAGGATCTATGCCTGGGGCCAGCCACCCAGCAGAAGTTCCCTGAATATTTTCTTCTTTTTTCACTCTTGTCCCCCAGACTAGAGTGCAATGGCGCCATCTCGGCTCACTGCAACCTCCGCCTACCGGGTTCAAGTGATCCTCCTGCCTCAACATCCCAAGTAGCTGGGATTATAGGCACTCATCATCATGCCCAGATAATTTTTCTATTTTTAGTAGAGACGGGGTTTCTCTATGTTGGCCAAGCAGGTCTCGAACTCGTGACCTCAGGTGATCCACCCGCCTCGGCCTCCCAAGTGCTGGGATTACAGGTGTGAGCCACCGGGCCTGGCCTTCCCTGAATATTGCCTATGCCTCCTTTGTGAAGGCTTTTGCAAACCTGAACTTTGTGGAGGTCAATGCCACCAAACTCACTGCTGCTCCCCTGCCCATCTTAACACCTCAATGTCAAAGTATTAGGTAAAGGGCTAATATCATATCCAAGTAAGACTCAAGCTCAACCCACTGGGCTAACATGCTCAGGGAAGAACAGAAAAGAAACTTTTGCTCTTCTCTCCAATCCCACCTTAGTCATGAGGTAGGCAGGTGGAGGGTCTCTGAGAAAAGACCACTCACAGTTCTGTGCTGTGAGTTCTGTGCCCAGCCCTAGCCCATGGAGCTCGAGGGTGAGGCAGGCTCACTCTGCCTGGGGGCTATATCTAAGAGCTGTGCTCTCCAGAGACCCAAGCAATGCTCCTCACAGAAAGCCTCCCCCAGAGAGTGCCCTTCCTGGGGCTGCCTCTCCAGTCTAAGCAGTCTGACCAGTTCTAAGAGTTATGTAGCAGCTTTTTTTTCAAGCCTCTTATCACTCTGGAGTTAGCAGCAAACAACATAGCAGCAGGAGAGGCAATGAGCAACTTCAGGGCCTCTATGAAGCAACTCCACCCCGGGGTCGGGGGAAGCGACAGCCTGGGAACAGCTCAGCTCCTGACACAACCCAGATGCTCCCTACGGGAGATAAGTTGGGGATGGGAAACGAGGAGGGACATTGTTCTAACTCTGAGGCTCACATATCCTGATCGCAAGCCAAGTCAGGGACAGACTTAGGCCCTTATAGTGTAGGCGCCAGGCTCCCTCTTGGTTCTTTCCTCTGTCTCACGGAGGCCATCTGAGAGCTAATACCACTGTCAAGATCCCTTAATGTTAACTGCTAGGAGTGCTCATGGGAAATCACGCTGCTTGATCACCAGGAGAAAGAGTGGGGTGCTTGACGAGGGGCAGGCTGGAATGTTACCATGGGGGGGGGTGGCACAGCACAGGGAGGGTCTGGTACAAGCTCTCTCAGCCCCCTGGCTGCACTCTTCCATGTAATGCCAGGCCAGTTCCATGTAGTTACCTGACTGCCCTCACTGGAAAGACAGGTGGATGCCAGCAAGAGCTCTTAACCAGAGCAAAGCCACAGCTTACTGTTACGGAGGCAAAGACCAAAGGACTGAGGAAGTCACTGCTCCAGGGGGTCCAGACAGCAGGTCTGTAAGGAACCTTGCTTCAAGAAAGGAGCACAGAGGACACTGTCCAGTTTCAACAATAAGGGACGACCTATTTGGAAATTCAAGAGTGGTTTTTTCTCCAAATGCATCCAGGAATCTTGGCTGTGGGCCTCCAAATGATTCCGTGATAACTAGCTAACAGGTGAATAGATTGTTTGGTTTTTAGGATACCTTTTCTCTTAAAAGTAGAAAAAGTGACACCTATTTACAAACTACAATGGGATGAAACTGTCTTGAGAAAGGGACGAGCAAAGGAAAGACCAATCAAATCGAGGGAGGAGGAAAGGAAACAGAAGCTTACTCGGACTATGGCCAGGAGGCGAATGTAGTCACTCAGGAGCTCGGCAAGGAGGAAGAAGTCATTGTTGGCCTGTTCCTGGTGGAGCTGCTCAATTTTTTCTTCCACCTCAGCCAGCTGGGAGAGTGCCCGTGACAATGCCGTGTTGTCCTCGGAGCTCCCAAGCATGGCTAGACTCTTTGCAAACTGGGCTGTGTTCAGCGCTAGCTCTGGAAGAAGGAAAAGACAGCAGAGCCTCTCTGATCTCACCAGGAAAAGGGACAAATCAGCTGACACTGCATGGCATGTCTTAGCAGTGCTGCCCACTGCATATCTGGCAACGGAGGGCTCTGCAATCCAGTCACTTACACCACAGTTAACTGTATTTGGAGAGTAAAGAGAATGTGGCCTGGTATAGGAGCAGGCGGGAGAGGCACCAGCTATCCTGAGTTTCACTGGGTTAGGCCTACCTGAAGGAAGCAGCTCCGATATCCCTAGAGAACCAAAGGCCAGTCATTAAATAACACAAACAGGCCAAAGGAACTATTCTTGCTGTGTTGCCCAGGCTGGAGTGCAGTGGCACGATCTCAGCTCACTGTAACCTCTGCCTCTCAGGTTCAAGCGATTCTCCTGCCTCAGTCTTCTGAGTAGCTGGGATTACAGGTGCACGCCACCATGCCCAGCTAATTTTGGTATTTTTTTAGTAGAGATGGAGTTTCACCACGTTGGTGAGGCTGGTCTCAAACTCCTGACCTAGTGATCCACCTACCTTAGCCTCCCAAAGTGCTGGGATTACAGGCATGAGCCACCGCATTGCCAGAACTATTCTTATATTTATGTTAAAGCTCATGAATGGTAGCTTCTATGTACAGGAGGCAAGAGTGAATGTATGTGAACACTGTAGAGTCCTGCATGTTCTAGAGCAGGCAAACTCTTTCTGTAAAGGAGCTGGATGATAAATGTTTTAAGCTTTGCAGGCTGCACATAGTCTCTGCTACAGATTATTTTCTACCCCCATTCATTCCTTTAAAAATGTAAAAACCTAAATTTATAGCTTATGGCAATCAGAACCAGGGCCAGATTTGGCCCATGGGCCAGATTATAGTTTGCCAACACTTATTTCCATTGGCCTCATGCTATGGGTCTTCTGTCTGTTTAGATTTCTAATTATCAGCATGTTTAAGGCAGAGAGGGAAAATATTTAAACTGGGAAAATTTCACTAGCTCTTAAGCAAATTTCCCTAAAGAAAGAAGAAGGATTAGGGGACAGGTGGTCTCCCTGCATTTATGCATTGCTGGTTTGACTATGTAGCTAAAGCATGTATGACATCATTTTGGATGTAAGCCATCACCTTGAAATCAACAGAAGCCGATAGCCCCAGGTCTCGCTGTATCTGGGACGGCTTCCCTGCACCCCTCCCAGGTAGAAAAGTACAATGTCCACAGTGGTTGAATCCTGTTTTCTGCTAGGCGATGCAGAGCATACCTTTTTTTATCAGAACATCAAGGACCAGGTGGGCTAAGAATTTCAACTTGGCTGGCTGAGTGGATTGGGAACAGCATGCCCTCCCATCTCCAGCTCACTGGAGACAACAATTTCCCCTAGCTCCAAGTGCATTTCAGAGGTTGTTACCTTTCCTATGGTTGACTAGAGTTTCTACAACAGCATGCAGTTTCCGTAAGCGCTGTTCCTCACACTCTACCTCCTGGAGCTTCTCCTCAAACCACTGAAACACAAAAGCCCAGAGCTTTAATGAGATTACTTCTATGGGTGCACTACAGTCTTTTCTTAGCAATTGTTTTTTAAAAAGGGATTGAAATATTAAAAAGTTTCTAATCTCAGAAATTTTAGGACTCCTTGGGGCTTCTGACCTATAAGCCTCAGAGGAAGGTGGAGGTAAGAGGAAGAGGGCTACTCACAATATCTGATTCATTCATCTTGATGGTCATTTTGCTGACAGCATCTGTGGCTTTATTGAACATCTTGAGGAGACCAGCACCACTCAGCGTCTGGGTACCCACGGCACGTGGCAGCTACAAGACCAAGAAGGCAGGAATGGCAAGTTATCTGCTAGTCCTATTTTAGGTTCAGAAGAATTAGTATCCTGTCAGATGGCATGCCCAAAACTTGCCAGACAATTATTTGAACTGTAAATTGTTTTCAAAGGCAGCCTGAGGAATCCACAACTAACATGTGCATGAAGAAAAATCAAAGAACCAGGCTGGGTGTGGTGGCTCATGCCTATAATCCCAGCACTGTGGGAGGCCAAGGCAGGTGGATCACAAGTCAGGAGATTGAGATCATCCTGTTCAACATGGTAAAACCCCATCTGTACGAAAACACACACACACAAAAAATTAGCTGGACATGGTGGCACTGCGGCCTATAGTCCCAGCTACTCGGGAGGCTGAGGCAGCAGAATTGCTTGAACCCAGGAGGCAGAGGTTGCAGTAAGCCGAGATCACGCCACTGCACTCCAGCCTGGTGACAAAGCAAGACTCCCTCTACCAAAAAAAAAAAAAAGAAAAAAGAAAAATCAAAGAACCATGTTAAAAAGAATCAGCATTTTCAGCTTTTGATATTTTATATAGAAAAAAAGTACACTGGGGTGTTATGTGGCCAGGCAACCTCAAATTGAGATTGTCTGCCTACCCAGGAATGAAATGCTTAAGTACCAAGCATACTCTTGTTAAAAGTCAAAAGTTCCCTTGGATTAGCATACTTTGTATACAACTGGGCTTAAAGGTCTTAAGAGACTAAAACTGTGCTGTGTCTGCATTTTCTTCGGTAAACAAATATCCAAGGACAGAGAATTACTTATTCAGATCAAAGCTACTTTCAGGGATGACCTAGTAGCCAAGCATGCCAAATATTCAGAAACAATTTGATTGATGTTCAGTCTTCCCAGTACTCTCTAAGGCATGGAAAGGATGCTAAGAATCTATAGCATATACAGCACATTATGCTAAAATGTCAGATTTTAGTGTTCAGGACTCTATGGCAGTAGTTCTTTTTTTTTTTTTTTTTTTTTTTTTTTGAGACAGTCTTGCTCTTGTTGCCCAGGCTGGAGTGCAGCGGCACTGATAATCCTGGCTCACTGCAACCTCTGCCTCCCAGGTTCAAGCAGTTCTCCTGCCTCAGCCTCCCAAGTAGCTGGGATTATAGGCACCTACCACCACACCCAGCTAATTTTTGTATTTTTAGTGGAGACAGGGTTTCACTATGTTGGCCAGGCTGGTCTCAAACACCTGACCTCAGGTGATCTGCCTGCCTCAGCCTCCCAGAGTGCTGGGATTACAGGCGTGCAGCTACTGTGCCCAGCTTGGCAGGAGTTGAAACTTGGGGCCATTTTGCTTCCTAAGGCATATTTGGCAATGTCTGGAGATGATTGTGGTTGTTATAATTGGGGAGGGGATGCTACCTGGATTTAGTGGGTAGGTACCAGGAATGCTGGTAAAATCCCCTGCAATGCAAAGGACGATCCTTACGAGAAAGAATTAATCTGACCGAAAGCGTCCACAGTGCTGCTACAGACAAACCCTGCTTAGAAGTATGGAGTAGAGATGAGAGGGTGAAAATGAAGAAGGATTTAGGAATATCCACAGGAGAAGACCAAAAGGTTTCAAGCATTTGACATGGAGTTTTTAATTAAAACATTTCATTTAAAACATCTCATTTATTTAGTATCATTTTCTTCACTGGAATAACACATACTATATACAAATGAAAGAAAATTTTAAAAATTAAACAAAATGACAGCCCTACCTGGTCACTTACTTCCTTCTAGTTTGCTCTCCTGTGAGATAAAACATTTTACTCCAGCATTTCTTTTGATCCCTAATGACTTACATGTTTCTTTTTTCTTTTCTTTTTATTTTTTTGAGATGGAGTCTCGCTCTGTTGCCCAGGCTGAAAGTGCAGTGGCACAATCTCAGCTCACTGCAATCTCCACCTCCCAGTTTCAAGCAATTCTCTGCCTCAGTCTCCTGAGTAGCTGGGATTACAGGCACACACCACCATGCCCAGTTAATTTTTGTATTTTTAGTAGAGACGAGGTTTCACCATCTTAGCCAGGCTGGTCTTGAACTCCTGACCTCATGATCTACCCGCCTCAGCCTGCCAGTGTGCTGGGATTATAGGCATGAGCCACTGTGCCCACCCTATAGCTGTATTTATATGCTATTTCAGGTTGTACATTTTATAATTCTTTTAATGTATGCTTCCATGTACTAACATTTCTGTATACTTTGTTTATGATGAGAATCAAGTATTTGTTGTATTGATATATTTTATGTAATTCTTCCACTGTTAGCAATTGGGCTGTCTCCAGTTTTTGACAATCATGACTAGCCTATGCATGGTCTGTAAAAAAAAGGACTGTCTACTTCAATTAACACTTTTGCTACAGGGCAGTTCTGTGGTTTGCAGTAACTGATTTTTAGCCAATGCCCCGCCTCACATAAAATATGCATTCAATTTGAGCCAAGAAGTAACCTACAACATGCCAACGGCCTGCCAAAGAGGTCACTGTGTTGATCCAGTAAGACAGTGCTAGGTTGCCATTTGACCTCTACAACCAATTGCTTTTTTTTTTTTTTTTTTTTTTGAGACAGAGTTTCGCTCTTGTTACCCAGGCTGGAGTGCAATGGCGCGATCTCGGCTCACCGCAACCTCCGCCTCCTGGGTTCAGGCAATTCTCCTGCCTCAGCCTCTCGAGTAGCTGGGATTACAGGCACGTGCCACCATGCCCAGCTAATTTTTTGTATTTTTAGTAGAGACGGGGTTTCACCATGTTGACCAGGATGGTCTCGATCTCTCGACCTCGTGATCCACCTGCCTCGGCCTCCCAAAGTGCTGGGATTACAAGCTTGAGCCACCGCGCCCGGCCACCAATTGCTTTTGACTACAGGCAGAGCTTCTTTTATTTCAAAGGCTGAAAAATACTTGTCACTCTCAGGGGCTCACACAAAAGTAGAATATAGTCTGGTACTAGGCATGTTAAGTGCTCACATAGTTTTAGAATGAACCAGTTTCATTTCACTGGGGGCAGATGTAAATTATGAAATTCAGTTTGCGCTGAATACTAACCTCTTCTTTTTCTAAGAACTCTCTGACATCAGGGTCCTGTAACATGGTAGGATGATTCACAATCCTCTGAAGGTACCTAAAACATAAGCAGTTATCATCTGGTTAGCTGAGCTGGCCTCAGAAGGTTCTGGGCATCAAACTGTGCTAGCAGTGATGTCATGTCTTTTGTTACTTAAAATGCCCTCAGAGGTGGAGGCTACAGTGAGCCGAGATTGCACCACTGCACTCCAGCTTGGGCGACAGAGCGAGACTCCATCTCAAAAAAAAAAAAAAAAAAAAGCCCTCAGATAAGGTACTTAAGTAGGACTCTCCTTGTAAGCATATTCAAGTTCACATTCTTGATATTTCCTAAAAGGCACAGAAAAACAACTGGTCAAAAAGAAACCTCAGAGCCATTCATATTTGATTGTCTAAGAATATGACTGCCTGCTTACTCAGGACAGGGAAAAAACAGAAGGTGGTCTATTCCCAAGGTGGGAAAATAAGCAACTCAGGAAAGGTAAGAGATAATATGGAAGTTTGCAACTTCAGTTCATTTAAGTTTCATCTCTAACTCAATGGACTGTCTCATCATTAAGACTCACTTTCAGCTTCTCACTTGTGCTCACGTTATTAAGGAAAATGGCTGTACGGCACTTACCTTTCTAAAGCGGCCCTCCGTTTTTCAAGAAATTCTGCAGAAGACGAATCTTCCTTCCCAACTTTCACTTTTGTCATTCCTAGAATGGAATTTCAAAAGCAAAATAACCATAAATCTTTCATTTTTTAATTTTTACTTTTTGGACCTTCTAGAACGCTTGCTAAAACAGAATTAACCATAAATCATCACGAAGAGGATAACTCTGTTATTTTTTTTTAAAGTGTCAACAGGAGGAAAGGCAATGAGGCTAGCACTACAAAACACAACCCAAGACTGCTTCTATGTTATGTGCAGGGATAAGCCAAAGCTTCTTTACATGATAGACACTTTTGAAAAGTAGTCTCCCAGGTGCTAAAAGTTCTAAACTCTGGGACTTGCAGAGTATACATCTTCTTAAAAAGGGGGTCATGGAACCTGAGTACAAACATCAACTGATGTTCATGAAGAGGTTACTTCCTCTGACCCCAAATCCAATTTACGATATTTCAACCTGGAGGGAACTGCAATGATTTAAGACTACTAAAGACCAAGAGAAAACAAACGAACATAACAACTCTGGAGGCTAAACTCAGAGACTCTACTGCACCCAAGAAGAGAACAGGCCAAAATATGCAATTTTTCTCTAGACCTCCAGGGTAGGAAAGCACTGGAAATGTCTCTTTTCTAACCACAAGACTGTTAATAGAAGTTGTCTCATATACTAAACAGTAAGTTAATTTTGGAGAGAATGCAAAGGAAAACAATCCCAGTGAAAAGAAGGACCACAGGCTTACCTATGAGGCTCTTCTCCGGTGGAGGAGGGACAATGAAGCCATTCTGGGAGTGCTTCTCTGAAAGCTTCTCATAAAGACCAAGGAAGTCACTAAATCTTCTTTTTACCGCAAACTGTTTGCTTCTGAATAATGGTAAGCTTGTCTTGGGGACAGGAAAAAACACAAAGCAATTTCATTCCAATAGGGGATGATATCTTGAAAGCCACCCAACTGACATTAAAGAAACCCATTTCCCAGGTCCCTAACCTTCAGTCACCTGTCGAATAGCTTTTTCCAAGGCAGAGAGTCTTAAACTTTAAAAACTGTAGTTCCCCCTTTGGCAGTCTGGGAGCTTAAGGAGCTCTTCTCAGAATAATGATTTTTAAATGCATAAAATATATAGGATTATAAAGACAACCAATTAAATTTAAATACATCTGAAGCCATGTTGACCTTTGAGAAAAAAAATTCAAATACAGTTTCAGTCCCAGGTTAAGAACTCTTGCTCTAAAGAAAGATATGTTCAGTTCTAGTTTAAAGCTCGAATTCTACAGTAACCAGTAACCCATTCATCCTTCATTGGCTTTTTTTTTGGAGACAGGATCTCACTTTGTCATCCAGGCTGGAGTGCAGTGGTACAATCACAGTTCACTGCAGCCTCGAACTCCCAGGTTTAAGTGATCCTCCCAGCCTCAGCCTCCCAAGTAGCTAAAAATACAGGCACACGCCACCATGCCCAGCTCATCCGTCATTGCCTTTTTATTTATTTTTGAGACAAGGGTCTCACTCTGTCACCCAGCCTGGAGTGCAGTGGCGCAATCTTGGCTCACTGCAACTTCCGCTTCCCAAGTTCAAGCAGTTCTCTTGCTTCAGCCTTCCAAGTGGCTGGGATTACAGGCGTGTGCCACCATGCCTGACTAGTTTTTATATTTTTAGTAGAGATGGGGTTTCACCATGTTGGGTCTTGAGCTTCTGATCTGAAGTGATCTACCCACCTTGGCCTCCCAAAGTGCTGGGATTACAGGTGTGAGCCACTGTGCCCGGCCTCATTGACTTATTTAAGGGTATTAGCTCCTAGAATTACAGCAGCCAAACCAAAGACAGACAAAAAGTGCTTCTAACAAGGGGAAAGCAGGTGGGGAGCAGGGTAAGAATTGGATGAAATGTCTAAGCTGTAGACACTAACCTCTAAAGTATCATAATCTAGAGCTCACAAGACGCAGGCCAACAAGTAATAGAGAGACCATACAAAGCAGATTCCTAGCAAAAAAGGTTAGGCCTACATCACAATGAGGATTCACTTTATACTCACCAGACAGGCAAAATTTACAGGAGGTTGGCCTCGCCAATTGCTAGCAAGGAAGTTAATCAGTGGGAACTTTTATACACTGCTGATGGGGGTATGAATTGGTACAAAGAATTTAAAAAACAGTTTGTATTCCTTGTGTCCTATATTTGCTGTACCTATGACCCAGGGAGAATTACTCCTGGTTACATACTCTAGGGAAATCTAGCTCCAAACCATAGTTCTCTAAAAGGGATGGGGCTGTATCAGATACACCACATGACTTAATAGAACAAAGTTTCACACTGAAATGTTAGCTCTCTGGAAAAGTATTAGAAAGACTCAGTCTGGAGTACCCAGATGAGATTACCAAGGGGGATGCAGGCCTGCTCCATCTTGAGTAAACATGAAGATGTTGGCAAAGAAACAAAGGAGATACCCAGAAATAATCTGAATGATGATCTTGGTATAAGCACCAAGGTCTATGAAGATGATCATCAGCAGGGTCACCTGGACTCACCTGTGTTGTAACTTTGTAGGCTACATATGCATTCATACCATCCCCTGTGGGAGAACAAGAAAGCAGGAGAAGATTATCTTGTAAACCAAAGCAGTGCCAATTCAGCTAACATTTAATCAGGAATCATACGCCATGGGAACTCTGGATAAGAAGGGATGCTCGTTTCATCCCCAAGCTTTATATGCAATCCTAGAATCCAGTTCCTACTTTGCCTCAGGGCCTCTGTGACACATAGCAAGCCACCATGGATGCTGGCTGGGCCCCAGTTTGAGTTACACAACAGAGTCAGCCCTCCTGTTCCAAAGCCAGGCTCCATTTATACCCTCCACAAAGCAGCACTGGATACTGACAATCCGTCAGTTGTTACCATGCCAATATTTGGGCTGCTTATACACATCTGTCCGAAACCAAACAATTCTCTTGCTGTATAAAGCAGGAGAAGAAGGAAGCAACTGATGTAAAAGGAAACAAGTAGTTCTACCCTAGGCTAGCTCTGGGCTTGACTTGCTCTTTCGGAATTAGCGTCACAACCCCCTCCAATGGTGCCGGGGGTGGGGGGACAGCTGACCTCCCTGATCTAGCATGTTCACCAAGAGTAAAGGGCCTGGCAGGAAGACACTTTGACTGCCTAATGTCACACAGATTCCCCTTTCCTGGAGGAATTATTTTTATGAAAAAGCCTTTGACTGTTAAATAATTTGGGATTCTAGCTACTGTTTTTTTCTCTGTGGTGATGTCCTGACCTAGACCACTTAAAAAGATAAAGATGCCATTGATACCCTGAGCACTGAAAAGACATATTCTGGAATCCAAACAGACACAGCTCCAGTGCTAGACTATGGTGTCTGGGGTTGGTTTTGTTCCCTGCCTCCCCGACCCTTGATTTCTTCCCATATCAAACAGGAAAACCTACGGTCAGCAATTACCAGCTGCTCAAGCCCCTGAACTCCTTCTGGGGTGAGGGGCCGGGGAAGGAAGAGCAGACAGTACTGGATCAGCAGGGTCACGCATTACAACTTGGTTTCAATAAGATGGCTGAAAATGCCTGTAAAATTCACCAAGCATTTGAAGTTTACACAGGAATAGAATGGCTTGTCTGCTGTACTTCCCCAGCCCCTACCCAGAGTATATATAAAACAGAAACCATAAGCTAAACTTTAGAAATTACTTTATACTGATTACCAACTTTAGTTCTTTTCTAAACCACCTTACTAAATTATCCAATACTACCAAGGATGTTTCCTACTGATAAAACAAAACAAAAAAATCTAACTTTATAGAAGTAATATTCAAAATTTCATTCATAGCAGAATAGCTATGGTTAAATATCCAGGAAGTCAATCCCATAATTTAGTGCCTGCAATTAACAAAGTCTAAATGCAAACACAGAGAAAATAGAAGAGGCAAGATCTTTAGATATGTTGTTTCTCAGCTGCTTTTATTTAGGCAATGTACATGAAAAGAGACATACTGCATGTACATAGCACAGATCTGCAAATGAGCTAGTAATACAAGGTTTTAAATTTACGTAAATTTCCAGAATAATTTCAGAGTTGAAGATAACACATGCAAATTACCAAGGTTTTAACAAGAATATCCTGGTAAAAGTTAAATTCTAAATTATTTAGATGTGTGCAGGAACAAGAAGCACATGTTGAATAAACAGCCCACACAAACAGAATGTGTTGTTATAAAGATCAGGCCTTGAATATGAAAATGTTTTAATTAGCTGGTTTCTTGGCATCAACATGACTAAGAATCTAGACTACAGTGCAAGGAGATGAAAGCTTATCCTCGAGTGATTTGTGTTTAAATATATCTGATCCATGGGATATTTAAATTACTTTCTGTTACGGGATAAACTGTGTCCCCTTCAAAATAGGTATGTTTTAGGTTCTAACTCCCAGTTCCTCAGAATGTGAGCTTATTTAGTAACAGGGTCTTTACGGATATAATCAAGCTAAAATGAAAACATTAGGATGGGCCCTACTCCACTCAGGTTGGTGTCCTTGTTTTTTTTTTTTTTTTTTGCTGTGAACATTTTTGCTTTAATATATAAATTGCATTAATACCTCACATTACATATATGAAGCTAAATTACACTAACTTAGTTTGCTTACAACCTCAAATCTTACTCCCAGTACACATTCCAATAAATTTATTCTGTAAAAACAATACATTTTTTGTTTTTGATTTTTTTTACAGTAAACTTTTCAACTACAAACCTTGAATACGTGAAAGATATTCCAAGGACAAGCATTAACAAGATTAATAAAAATCAAACTGACTAAATGTGTTCTCACAATATAAGCTGGCATAAAAATAAATAAAATTCTCTATTTCACAATAGCAACAATAATGTACACATAATAATGGTTTGTGGATGAATATTAACTATTCTAATTGTAGTTTCAAAAGAAAACAGTTTATTTTAAAAGTCTGCATTTAAAAGTCAGTGCTTTGCCTGGTTTCCCATAGGGCTGTTGCTGTTCCTAGCTTTAAAATGTAAAGTACCCACCTTGAGTGCTTAGCTCAAAATTGTATTGGCACTGGGAAAAAATAAATCATTGCCTTTATTTTGGAGTAACACAAAAAGACTCACTAACTTCACATATAGAAACTTAGTTTGTGTACATAACAATATGAATTTTGAGAAGTATAAGCTGTCAACTAGCTATTTCTAATACAGAATAGGTATTTTACAATATGGTTAAACTTTACACATGGCCTCAAAATTGAAGGACAATTTTAATTTCGTCTTCAGTATACCAACATTATGTATTTAGGATTTAGTTCCTGGGTTCTGTCACAGAGAGGAAATTCCATTCTTAAGCATTATGTTGAGTGGTCACCTAAAAATGTTAATTTATATTTAACTGAGTGTTTGGTGATGGTGGGGTAAAGGGAGGAAAATGATGATCATAACTGCCTTGATAAAAGGATCTTAGACATGTATAAGTCTGCGCAAAAATCTTGATAATCCTTAGTGGTTAAGGGCAACTTCATGCAACCAAATAACATGAAATTAAATCTGTAACTTTTAAAAAAGGCTAAAATGTCTTTTCCCCCCAAAACGCAACAGAGAAGAATATGAATAATGCACATACAAACTGGGGTCTGTCAATGACAACGAGGACTGTATGTTGGTTCTTATCAATCCAAGAATATTAGACAACCAAACATACAACCTTCTTGTGGTTTCTCTTAATATGCAGCATTCATTATGGTAGTTAGGTCCCTTCACTGGTTTTCTGCAAGTCTGAAGTTGTGTTTCTTGTGTCACCGCCCGCATCTCCACCCTCAGAGCTGCTTTTGTTTTCCTCCTCTTTGCGGTCTTTGTCATCTTCATCTCCTGGAGATTTCCGGGACTGTTTAGAGGATTTCTTTGAAGTATATGACTTTTTCCGTTTTGAGCCTGCTTTTTCATTCTTTCTTTTGCCTTTTCTATCTTCTTCTACTCTATCACCTTCTTCCTCACTGCTTGCATCTGCATGCAGTATTTCCACCTTCTCCCTCAGTTTCTGAAGAGCTCTGTTGCTGAACTGCCTGGTATCCAGTAAACTTTACTCCTGGGTTATTTTCTATTTCCCACAATCCTTGGTTAAATCCTTTCGGTTTGTCTGACTTTCCAAACTTGTCTTTGTACTATTTATATGGAAAAAGGTCTTTGGGACCTAGAAATGCAGTTTCATGGGTGCCAAAAAAGAAAATAGGATACTTGTTTGCTGGAGGTTCACAGCTCCCTCTGGGAGTTCATCGATCCGGGCCGACCAGTGCGGGTAGCTCGTCATCTTGGCGAAGACCTCGTTGCCCGCTTTGTACTCGCGAGGCCACGGACGCGCCATCCCAGCCGCTCCCCTTCCTGGTAGTCCTTGGTCGCCTCGAAGATGCCGGGAGGCCCCCTCGCCCCCCCGCCCCGCGGGCAGACGGACTGTGCTGCGTTCCGCGCGGGCCTCCAGCCGGGCAGACGAGCAGCCACTCCGACGAGGGGAAGCGGCGAGGCCGGTGTCCTTATTTGTTAAAGGGGGAATGTGCACACAGTAATAGGCACGCATAGAGGGAAGGCAGCATGGAGACACTTAGAAAGAATGCCATGTGACAGTGAAAGCAGAGACTGAAGTGATGCATCCACAATCCGAGGAAGGCCTGAGGCTGCCATAAGCTGAGAGAGAGGCATGAACAGTCATTCTCTAGCACCCTGCCAACACCAGGATTTGAGATTTCTGGCCTCCAAAAGTGTGAGAAATTTCTGTTGTTTCAACCAGTTTGTGGTACTTTGCTAGAACAGCCTTAGAAAACCAGTATGTTCCCTCTCCAGGTTCAGACATCATGACTTGGTACATCTTAAGACAATTAGTGCCATTCATTCATCTTACTCCACTAAGGATTTAAAGCACCAAATAACTAGCTTAAAATTAATGTGTTTAAAGAATATTCATAACTATTAGAGAAAAGAGAGAATCTAGGCATATAATGCAAAGTCCTGGTCCAGGCTCTACCATGGAAAGCTACTTCCTTTTTGGTGTTTGGTGTTCTATATTGTTAGATGACAGAATTGTATAACATGCTCAAAAACTTCCTACCAGTGTAACAGTCTGGGGAAAGTAAAACTCAACAGTTCAAAGTTAAAAAAACAACAACGTTTTTTTTTTTTTTTTTGGAGACAGGGTCTTCCTCTGTCACCAAGGCTAGAGTGCACAGGTGTGATCTTCGCTCACTGCAGCCTTGACCTTCCAGGCTCAAGTGATCCTCCCACCTCAGCCTCCCAAGTACATGAGATTACAGGCATGTACCACCATGCTTCTGTAATTTTTTTTTTTTTTGTAGGGACAGGGCTCATTTTTTACTTTTTGTAGAGACATGGTCTTGCCACGATGGGCAGGTCGGTCCTGAACTCCTGGGTTCAAGTGATCCTCCTGCCTTGACCTTCCAAAGTGCTAGGATTACCTGCATGAGCCACTGCACCTGGCCTAAAATCAACAGTTTAACGACAACCATTTTGGCCAGGACCAGGCTAGGCAACATGGTGAAACCATCTCTACAAAAATACAAAAAAACTAGCCAGGTATGGTGATGTACACCTGTAATCCCAGCTACTCAGAAGGCTGAGGTGGAAGGATCACCTGAGCCTGGGAGGTTGAGGCTGCAGTGAGCTGTGATTGCACCACTGCACTCCAACATGGGTGACAGAGTGAGAGCCCATCAAAAAAAAAAAAAAAAAAAGACAACCATTTTAGCAGAAAGTCTAACAAAGTCCTGTCCCTAGTTCCAAATAGACCAAGGGTTGAGAATTACATTTGTCCTCTTAACTGTGTAAACAGTACCCCTGTTTAGGAAGACAGATACTGTATAATCTCTTCTGTAAGGAACCACAGCTGGAACAAGGAAAGCCTATTGTTCTCCATGCAGTGATAATGCTTGCAAGCTTGGGAGAGGAGAAAGCTATCCTAAAAATCTAAGTCCAGTCAAAGTTAAATGTTACGCTTTTTGAAAATCTGTCTCCAATTTGAGTACAATCAAACCTGGGTCCCATAGACAGACAGACTTCTCCATCTCATAAGGTTATCAAGAATATATGTATAAAACAGAGTTTCAAACTTCTTGAGGGAAAAAATAAGTTCAGTATCCCTCAATTTTAGAATATTGTATTTTTTAGGGTGCTTACATGTAATTTACTATCTCAAAAAACAGTAAAATGGTCTTATCAACTGAAGGAGAAGACAATGTTTGGGTTTTTAAAATTTTTTTTGAGACAGAGTCTTGCTCTGTCACCCAGGCTGGTGTGTGGTGGTATGATCTTGGCTCATTGAGGCCCTCTGCCTTCCAGGTTCAAGCGATTCTCTGGCCTCAGCCTCCTGAGTAGGTGGGATTATAGGCACACACCACCACACCTGGCTAACTTTTGTAGTTTTAGTAGAGGCAGGGTTTTACCATGTTGGCCAGGCTGGTCTTCAACTCCTGACCTCAGGTGATCTGCCTGCCTCAGCTTCCCAAAGTGCTGGGATTACAGGTGTGAGCCACTGTGGCCGGCCTGTTTGAGTTTTCAAAAAGAGACTCTAGCTTGGTGGTTCATGCCTGTAATCTCAGTGATTTGGGAGTCTAAGGAGGGAGGATCACATGAGGCCAGGAGTTTGAGACCAGCCTAGGCAATACAGCAAGACCCCATCTCTACAAAAAAAAAAACAATTAGTCGGCCTGGTAGCACGTGCCTGTAGTCCCAGCTACTTGGGAGAGTGGGGTGGCTGAGGTGGGAGGATTGCTGAGTCCAAGAGCTGGAGGTTACTGTGAGCTATGATCGTGCTACCGTGCTCCATTCTTGGTAAAAAAAATGAGACCTTGTCTCTCAAAATACCAGAAGAATAAAAATAAAAACAGATTCTAGTAGTATTTGATGACTCTAATTTTTCTTCCTAAAGCCAAGAAAAGACTGACTAATGCACTAAGTAACTATAGACTCTGGCTGTAGAAACATAGCAAGGGGTCTACTTTTACAGGAAAGATACCAATGAACTATTTCACGTTGGCTAGTTCGACTCTGAGGGTAGCCATCCTGAAATTAGCTACCTATGCTTTCTACAGCCACACCCTAACATCACAAGGAGTCCTAAGAACACTTACCTATCTTCTCAGGATCAGTTATACCAACTGTCAAATCAAATTGGTCCTCCTGTTCTTCTTCCTCTAGCTTTTTAAAGAAAAGACAAATCATGAGAGTTGATACAAAAAAAGCTATTAATCTTACCCTGTAATAACCTTATACCAATCTAATAAAATCAAGATGTACCCTTCAGTGTTCAGCTTTTGTCCATTCCCAACAATTCCAATGAACCAACTCTCAAAATTTTAAATTAGAAGCCAGCTTACAAGTCTTTGTTACATCTATTCCCTTAAAATCCTTTTTTTTTTTGAGACGGAGTCTCGCTCTTGTTACCCAGGCTGGAGTGCAATGGCGCGATCTCGGCTCACTGCAACCTCCGCCTCCTGGGTTCAGGCAATTCTCCTGCCTCAGCCTCCTGAGTAGCTGGGATTATAGGCACGCACCACCATGCCCAGCTGATTTTTTGTATTTTTAGTAGAGACGGGGTTTCACCATGTTGACCAGGTTGGTCTCGATCTCTCGACCTCGTGATCCACCCGCCTCGGCCTCCCAAAGTGCTGGGATTACAGGCTTGAGCCACCGCGCCCGGCCTCCCTTAAAATCTTATTTTGATGACAATGAATAACTGCCAGATTTCAAAAGACTTGCCTCTTGCAGGCTAGGAATGGAGTGAGGAGAAACTATACTCTTGAATATGGAAGTTTCACGCACTAAGTATCTTTAGTAACCATTGAAAGCCTTTCTGCTCTGGGCAATAGATACTCTGCCCAAGAAAGGCTCCTGTATTGCATTTTGGCTGTCCAGTAACCATAAAGATCTCCTTCAAGAGTCATAAATATTTTCTCAAGGTTCATACTCATCTGCACTTCAGACTAGCAGCACACAATCCTGAATATCTAAAAGCGATAAGACCATTGGCACAGATTCTCACCTCCTCATAGGTTGGCTGGGGCTTCGAAGAATTTGCGGCTTCCTGTGGAGGAAGAGAAACGAGTGTTTTGGCCGGCACCTTCTTCTGATTATTTTGTGTGCTGTCCAAGGATAGTTCCACTGTGGCATCTAAAAACAGTTGATATTTTTAAATGAAGGTCAGTAATGGGTCTTTGAAGGCTAAACTTCAGTTCTACAGGCTAAGAACTTACAAGAACAATAGCAAGTACTCTTAATACATAGAGGCTCTCAGACTAAGTCATAAGATGTTTACAAGGATAAAAGGGGAGGATGGTGAGGGAAGTGTACTAAGCCTTCTAGCACAGGCTTAGTAGAACAACTTCCTTCTCCTTTCCCAACACAACCACTTGGCTACCCTCTCCTACCTAGAATTTAGGGAAGAACCAACAATAAGCAAAAAGATGACACAGCCAAAATAAGTTTATCAATTTTATTTTACTTTTAAAAAATATTGATTGATTGATTGATTGAGATGGTGTTTTGCTCTGTTGCCCAGGCTGGAGTGCAGTGGCATGATCTGGGCTCACTGCAACCTCCGCCTCCCGGGTTCAAGTGACTCTCCTGCCTGAGCCTCCTGAGTAGCTGGTACTACAGGTGTGCACCACCATGCCCAGCTAATTTAGTTTACCAATTTTAATCTTAGGAGTATTCCTTTAGAACATTATATGAACCCTATTTATTTTTGTTACAATTTTTTGTAAAAGAAGTTCAGATACTTGCTTTACACAACAATATGATAGAAGAGGCAGGCATATTGACAGGAAAAAAATGACATCAAAGAAGAGTCAGGAGAACTATAAGCTAGAAAAAAAATGGAGCCAAGATACAAACACAGCAACCTTTGGAAAAGGGCAGTTTTCCATACCTGAGGACAGCACTGTTTTTTTTAGCATGGTTTAAGAATTTTTCATAATATTTTAGATCTCCTTGTAAAGGTTAAATTATACTTAATATATGGTATCCAAAATTGGGAAAAAAACACATGTAATATCTGAAAATTTTTGGCTATCTGGGGAGAACTCAGTTGAACAGAACGACTCATTCTCAGTATTCCAGAGAAGGGACTTTAAAAATAGCATTATGTACCATTTTCAGGCATTAAAATTTTTTATCCAAATAAAAATAATGCACTTTCGACTTGGAGCAATGGAACTAGATGCTGTAAGCCTAAACAGTTCAAACTCTTCTTTTTTAGTAACGAAAAATGTAAATACCCATTTGTGTTTGGTCTGATCAGTAGGTATTCTATTTTAGTCTTAGGAAATTCAAGGAATGCTGTTTTTTCTTCTTTTCCATTTGGAGCTAAAACAAAACCAGAGATTATGGTTTATGTGTATATGCCTATATGCATAATCAAGTTCCAGATCGGTGTTCAAATCATCAAATGTGAATCATGTCTGCAAACAATGTTGCCATACTGTTAGAAATGAAATCTGATCCCAATCAGGAAAGCGAGAAAGGTGGTAATCTGACTCTGGGGTGGGAGTATAAAACAAACAAGCAAAAAAGTACAGCTGATCCTTGCACAATACAGGTTTGAACTGCATGGGTCCATTTATACATGAATTTTATTTTATTATTATTATTATTATTATTATTTTGAGATGGAGTCTCGCTCTGACAACAGGCTGGAGTGCAGTGGCACAATTTTGGCTCACTGCAACTGATGCCTCCCGGTTCAAGTGATTCTTCTGCCTCAGCTTCCTGCGTAGCTGGGACTACAGGCTCGGCTAATTTTTGTATTTTTTAGTAGAGATGGGGTTTCACCATGTTGGTCAGGATGGTCTCGATCTCTTGACCTCATGATCCGCCCACCTCAGCCTCCCAAAGTGCTGGAATTACAAGCGTGAGCAACCGTGCCTGGCCTTTTATTATTATTTTTAAATTTTTCACAATGTCAGCCGCAATTTTTTTTCCTAATTTTTATACATGAATTTTCTTCTGCCTCTGCCACCCTGAGACAGCAAGACCAACCCCTCCTCTTCCCCAGCCTAGTTACTCAATGTGAGGATGGCAAGAAAGAAAACCTTTATTATGAAACCACTTCCACTTAATGAAAAGTAAATATATTTTCCTTTCCATGGTTTTCTTAAGAACATTTTCTTTTCTCTAGCTAACTAGCTAATTTACAAAAGATATGTTAACTGATCATCTTATTGGTGAGGCTTCCAGTTAACAGTAGGCTATTAGAAAAGTTTTGGGGAAGTTATGAACAAATTTTTGACTGTGCTGGGGTCAGACCAACCCCTAATCCCTGCATTGCTCGAGGATTAACTATACATATAATGAACATGTTACGATGTTAGGAGTCTCTGAAACAAGCACCAGTTGAAGTATGTGTGGCATATTCACCATCATGCAGGTCCCACACAAATAATTTGGTTAATAAACATGTTGGGAAGTGAAACAGGAATTATCACCCACTTAAAATATTTGGCTACTAGAATGCTACTAAAAACCTTTTGCCAGCCTGGGCAACATTACAAAAAGCTGTCTCTACAAAAATAAAACAGAACACACACACAAATATTAACCAGGCATGGTGGCCCCCACCTGTGGTTCTAGCTACCAGGAGGTTGAGGGAGAAGATCCCTTGAGCCTGGGAGATTGAGGCTGCAGTGAGCCATGACCATACCACTAAAGACCAGCCTGGGCAACAGAGTAAGACCCTGTCTCAAAAAACAATAATTAAAAAAAAACCTTTTGAAGAGCTGTGCGTCTTCTATCTACTGAAATTCATGTGATAAAGATGCCAAAACTTATATTAGAACATGCTTTTTTTCTTTGAACTCCGGTTAAGAGTAATGGAAAAGCATTCAGGCTCCATCAGTGACTCTGATCATCACTAGATTTATCATTTAAAAAATGAAATGAGAACAGTTAAGTTTTCACAGTCAAATATCTAAAACAACTGAGAAGTTCCTGAAGTCCTAAACTAAATGTCTCATTGTAGACTTTTCATTGTAGAGATATCTTATGTTCCTTTCTTAGAAGTGAGGCAGGTATTGGCTACTTATAAAACTGGTGGAGGAATGAAGTAAATCAGAATCCTTACTACTAACAAATATGTCCCTAATAAAGATCTACATGTTTATGTGCATAGAATGCAATCACTGGGTAATTATCACACTAAAATATCAGGTCAGGTCTTCTTATAAGGAAAGATCACATAAATGTTAAGGTCCCAAAAATAGAAAATTCACTTTCTTTTCAATCTGTCATATAACCAAAGAGAATTCATGATTTCTCTTCATATTACTTATCCTCCAGAACTTTTTTTATTTTTATTTTTATTTTTTTTTTTTAACAGAGATGAGGTTTTGCTATGTTGCCAAGGATGGTCTTAACTCCTGGGCTCAAGCAATCCTCCCAACTTGGCCTCCCAGAGTGCTGGGATTACAGGTGTGAGCCACTGTGCCTGGCATCCTTCAGAAATATTAACCAAAAAATAATCAGTACCAGAATGAATACTATGTATTAAAAATACTTTTGTATTTTGTAGTAGAGACAGGATGAAGGGAAGTGGAAAATCTCAATTTTTTTTTTTTTTTTTTTTTTTTTTGAGGAGTTTCACTCTTGTTACCCAGGCTGGAGTGCAATGGCGCGATCTCGGCTCACCGCAATCTCTGCCTCCTGGGTTCAAGCAATTCTCCTGCCTCAGCCTCCTGAGTAGCTGGGATTACAGGCATGCGCACCACCATGCCCAGCTAATTTTTAGTATTTTTAGTAGAGACGGGGTTTCACCATGTTGACCAGGATGGTCTCAATCTCTTGACCTCGTGATCCACCTGCCTCGGCCTCCCAAAGTGCTAGGATTACAGGCTTGAGCCACCGCGCCCAGCCAAAAATCTCAATTTTTATATTCCTTCTTCTAACCTCTTCTTCCCTTGTATGTCTTTTAAATTTCCTACTGGAGTTCTAATGTGAGAATTGTCCCAAGATCTTACCCTCTACCCTCTTTTCTCTCTCCACACCATTCACTCTTCGAAGATCTCGTTCACATGGAAGTTTCAACTACCACCACTAGAAAGATGATTCCCATATGTCCAGTTCTTTTCTTTCCTCAGGTAGGAAAGAAAAGTTCGAGTTCAAGTCACCTCCTGGGTATATCCCTTTGCATTTCAAACTTAAAGTACCTAAAACCAAAGCTAACTTTTTTCCCCCAAAGCCAGTTTCTTCTTTAGAATGTGGTTCTACAACGATACCATTTAATTCTCAATCCTTGGACCTAAAACCTTTGATGTGGTCATAAATCCCCATTTTTTTGACACCCATTATATTTAATCACTAAAATCAGATTTTATTGATTTCCTCTTTTGAAAAGGTTTTCATCTTTCCTTTCCTGCTTTTATTGCCTATGTTCAGTCTTTGCCATTTCATCCTTAAACTAATTTGTCATTGCCTTCTAAAAACTCTCTGCTTTCTGCCCACTGCAACTAATTTAATAAAATTCCAATTCCACTAGGTCAGTTTCCCTAAATCATTACTTTCACATTCCTTACACAAAGCTGCCAATGTTTTTTAATTGGCATTAAGATGAAAATCCAGACCTTGAATTATTAATGTCTAAGGTCCTCCAATATCTGTTCCCAAATTACACTTTCCAGCCTTATCTTCTATGACTTCTCCAAGAATGTCCTGTTGTGGTCCACCAACTTTACTGACTTGCTGCTCAAACATGCCTTATATTTCCTGCCCAACCATGGGGCCCTTTTTTCCTTTTTTTCCTATATAAATGCTACTTCTTCTAAGATCACTTTATTTATTTCATTTATTTTTGAGATAGAGTCTTGCTCTGTTGCCCAAGCTGGAGTGCAGTGGCATGATCTTGGCTCACTGCAACCTCCACCTCCTGGGTTCGACCAAGTCTCCTGCCTTAGCCTCATGGGTAGCTGGCAGCACAGGCATGCACCACTGTGCCCAGCTAATTTTTTGTATTTTGTAGTAGAGACAGGATTTCACTATGTTGGCCAGGCTGGTCTTCAACTCCTGACCTCAAGTGATCCACCCGTGTTGGCATCCCAATGTGCTGTGATTACAGGAGGGAGCCACTGTGCCTGGCCCAAGATCACTTTAGACCAGGGTTTTTTCAACATTAGGACTACTGACATTTTGGGCTGAATAATTTCTTGTTGCGAGGGCCTGTCTGGTGTATAGGGTGTTTAGGCAGCATCCATGGCCTTTACCTACGAGATAGCAGTAGCACTCCCAGCTGTGACAACCAAAAATGTCTCCAACCATTTCCAAATGCCTTCTAGGGGGAAAAAGCACCCACTCTGTTGAGAACAGGGCAGCTCCCATCAACACAGAATTATCCAGCCCAAAATGTTAATAGTGCCAAGGTTGAGAAAAGGTCCTATACTAGTGTTTTTCAAACTGGAGGTTACAGCTTGTTGATAGATTGTGAAATCAATTCATTGGGTTTCAAAGAGCACTGAAAAAGGAAACAACAGAAAGTTTCAGGTTGTATTAGTAGTAGTAAGGGCAAGTCATTTAATAAAACAAGTCATTTTGTTTCGGTTTTATACCACTATGTCCATATTTTGGATTACACCACCAAATGCATTTCCTATTCCTAGTCTTGGTCATCCAAGGCTACAGGCACTGCTTTAGTCACTGGTCTCACACTCCTCTGAGCTCCTGTGACTTAGTATTTCTATCATTCCTCCAGCTGCATTTCTATTATTGTTTAACAGTTTAACTTGCCTTCTTAAACAGTTGTGTATTTATGTCTTACTCCCTAAATCTGAAAGAATCTCAATGGCAGGGCCTGTATTTCATGTACTTTGGAATCCACCACAAAAGTATTTTATATAAAGTTATGTTCCCAATGCTTTTTCTTTGGTTTTGACTTTAACTCAGCAACTTGACAAAGCCATTTGGGAGGTTTCTAGAATAACTTTTGAGTCTAAACTTGCCTGCAAAGAGATCCTGTGGCTCTTGGTCTTGTTCTTCATGGATCCCATTTTCTTTGGAGCCATTGTTGATAGGAAAAAGGGATGTAGCTCTCTTTGAAGACTGGTGCTTACTCTGAAAACAAAGAGATACTCTGAATACAACATTACCATGAAAAACAAACCCAACTTGCCTAGAAAGCAACTTGTTTTTTTTTCTCGAGACGGAATTTCGTTCTTGTTACCCAGGCTGGAGTGCAATGGCGCAACCTCCGCCTCCTGGGTTCAGGCAATTCTCCTGCCTCAGCCTCCTGAGTAGCTGGGATTACAGGCACGCGCCACCATACCCAGCTAATTTTTTGTATTTTTAGTAGAGACGGGGTTTCACCATGTTGACCAGGATGGTCTCAATCTCTTGACCTCGTGAGCCACCCGCCTCGGCCTCCCAAAGTGCTGGGCTTATAGGCCTGAGCCACCGCGCCCGATCGAAAGCAACTTTTAATGCTTCCCTCAATTGCCACCAATCAACCAGTTCAGTAAACAGCAAATCATTATTAGTAATATAAGTGCTACCCTAGGTAATGACAGAGCAAAAGTAAGTCCATACATTTTAGGGTTAATTTCTAACAACATAACCTTGCTAAAATGCCCTATCCCAAAGCACATGATACCAACATGGGTATGTGTACACACAGATAATTTTCAAAAGAACCTGTCCAAATGTATTTCTCCTTCTCAGTTGATGACCTTTGTTCTTTCAAATGCTGACTGTGCACATACTAGTGACCAGGATACCTCACTGGAGTCCAGAATTCAAGCTCTGACCCATGCTTACTTTGTGGCCCTGGCTAAACGGTTAACTGAAGCCCAGTTTTGTGGATATTACCAACCCATCTGACAAGCAAAGGAAGGTATAACACTACGTTCTAATGCTGTTTATAAGTATAATTTATCTTTTCATTCTTAACTCACACAGATATAATTTTCAATAGCACCCTGTGTCAAGCTAGGAGAATAAAAACTAGTCATACTAAGCCTAATGGGTACATGGTGAAAATACAGTCAGTTCATGGCCTTTATTCAAAGCTCACTGATCAGCCTCAAACAAGGGTGGGGTGGATCCCCAGACCGGTACCAGAGTGAACAAAGCTGGATTGTGCAGAACATGAACTGAAAGCTGAGAAGCTGGCTTCAAAAGCTGTGGTGTGGTATTGCAGGGTTTTGAAGTCAGACCCTAAGGGCAAATCAGTTAAAAGACCTGGCTTAAGGAAACTTTTATGAAACATTTCCTTAACAAATCTGAGAAAGTTTGTTCCTTGGAGACAGACCTTTTCTCACCCAGTGAACAAAGTGAAATGACAGATCTATTTGGGTACTCTAAATTTGCAAATAGCTTCATCCAAATATCGGGGCCACATTTCAGAAAAGAAACTCTTAGCTGGTCTGAAGGTAGTAAGTTAATTCAATTGATGGTTCACAGTCAGTTACAGATCAAACTCCTTGTCTGATATTTCCCCACGTCTCACTACGGCACTTGACTAGTCTTAAATTTTTTTTTAGGCCAGGCGCGGTGGCTCAAGCCTGTAATCCCAGCACTTTGGGAGGCCGAGGCAGGTGGATCACGAGGTCGAGAGATCGAGACCATCCTGGTCAACATGGTGAAACCCCGTCTCTACTAAAAATACAAAAAATTAGCTGGGCATGGTGGCACGTGCCTGTAATCCCAGCTACTCAGGAGGCTGAGGCAGGAGAATTGCCTGAACCCAGGAGGCGGAGGTTGCGGTGAGCCGAGATCGCGCCATTGCACTCCAGCCTGGGTAACAAGAGCGAAACTCCGTCTCAAAAAAAAAAAAAAAAAGACAGACCCGCATAAATGGGATATGGCGGTGATAACTAGAGTACTAATACGTCTCTTCCTCCACCCAACCCTCTTCAAAAGCCCAAACTGTGGCCAGGTGTGGTGGCTCACACCTATAACCCCACCACTTTGGGAGGCTTAGGTAGGAGGACTGCTTGAGCCCAGGAGTTGGAGACCAGCCTCACAGTGAGATTCTGTCTCTAGAAAAAAAAAAAAAAAATGTTTGTTTTTTAAGTAGCAAGGCCTGATAGTGTGCACCTGTAGCCCCAGCTACTCTGGAGGCTGAAGTGGGAGGATCACTTGAGCCCAGGAGGTCGAGGCTGCAGAAAGCCATGATGACACCATTGCACTCCAGCCTGGGCAACAAGAGCAAAACTCTATCTCAAAAAAATAAATAATAAAGTAGTCTTATTGGACTTAATAGTTTCAAAGGCTCTACTAAGCTCCCTTCCAGAAAGACCAACAATTTATATTCCCCCAGAAGTGTATAAGAGTGCTGCATCCACAGCAACACTAACCATTTTCTCTCTTAAAAAATCTTTGCGCCGCCGGGTGCGGTGGCTCAAGCCTGTAATCCCAGCACTTTGGGAGGCCGAGGCGGGTGGATCACGAGGTCGAGAGATCGAGACCATCCTGGTCAACATGGTGAAACCTCATCTCTACTAAAAATACAAAAAACTAGCTGGGCGTGGTGGTGCGTGCCTGTAATCCCAGCTACTTAGGAGGCTGAGGCAGGAGAATTGCCTGAGCCCAGGAGGCGGAGGTTGCGGTGAGCCGAGATCGCGCCATTGCACTCCAGCCTGGGTAACAAGAGAGAAACTCCGTTTCAAAAAAAAAAAAAAAAAAAAAAAAATCTTTGCACCATGTGCAGTGGTTCATGCCTGTAATCCCAACACTTTGGAAGGCAGCAGTAGGCGGATCACCTGAGGTCGGGAGTTCGAGACTAGCCTGGCCAACATGGCAAAGCCCTGTTACTACCAAAAATACAAAAAATAGCCAGGTGTGGTGGCACATGCCTGTAGTCCCAGCTACTTAGGAGGCCATTGCACACCAGCCTGGGCAACAGAGACTCTGTCTCAAAAAAAAAAAAAAAAAAAAAAACTTCACTAGGTGAGTGTGAAAATTTCTTTCCACTCGTTTGCTAGTCATTTGAACCCATGACTTGCCTTGATATTCTTCACCTATTTTTCTATGCTAAGTTGGCATTAGGTGTGCATTTTCTTTCTTTCTCCTTCCTTCCTTCCTTCATTCCTTCCATCCTTTTTCTTTTTCTTAGATGGACTCTTGCTTTGTCACCCAGGCTGGTGTGCAGTGGCGCAGTCTTGGCTTGCTGCAACCTCTGCCACCCTGGTTCAAGCGATCTCATGCCTCAGCCTCCCATGTAGCTGGGACTACAGGCGTGCACCACCACACCCAACTAACTTTCTTGTATTTTTAGTAGAGACAGGGTTTCACCATGTTGGCCAGGCTGGTCTCAGACTCCTAACCTCAAGTGATCTGCCTGCCTCGGCCTCCTAAAGTGCTGGGATTACAGGCGTGAGCCACTGTGCCCAACCTACGTGTGGATTTTTCTTACACATAAATATGTTAACCTTTTATCCTGCATACTATACAATACCCCTCCCTAATGTTCTCTCTTTTGAATTTTTTTGTTTTTGAGACCTCTCTGTCACCCAGCCTGGATATGATGGCGTGATCTTGGCTCACTACAACCTCCACCTCCCAGGTCAAGCAATTCTCCCGCCTAAGCCTCCTCAGTAGCTGGGATTACAAGTGCTCACCACCATGCCTGGGTCATTTTTGTATTTAGTAGAGATGGGGTTTCACTACGTTGGCCAGGCTGGTCTCGAACTCCTGACTTCAGGAGCTCTGCCCACCTCAGCCTCCCAAAGTGCTGGGATTACAGGTATGACCCACCATGCCCAGCTCTTTTGATATTTTATTTTTGTCCCTATCAAATTTATTTTCAGCACTGGAAAAATTAAGTTTCTTTAATGCTGAAGAGTACCTTGTCCACAGTTGGGACTTCGAGGCATAATATTATCATCAAGTTTTACTTAAGATCAGATTTTTAAAACAAGTGAGCAGAACTACTTTTAAAGAAGAAATAGACCCATGCTCACAATATCCTATATTCACATAGAGCTGTTAACAGAAAACAAGTCTTCCATGAGATTTGAGTCCATAGTAATAGCACGTTTTCAAAATACAAAGCCACCTGGACATTATAACACACTTTATATGCTATGTCTAAGGTTAAAAGGCTGATTATTTATTAGTATTATTAAAGTGTAGAAAGCTAATTTTAATCAAGTTAAAATTTTATTTTTATTTTATTTTATTTTTTTGAGAAGGAGTTTCTCTCTTGTTACCCAGGCTGGAGTGCAATGGCGCGATCTCGGCTCACCGCAACCTCCGCCTCCTGGGTTGAGGCAACTCTCCTGCCTCGGCCTCCTGAGTAGCTGGGATTATAGGCACACGCCACCATGCCCAGCTAATTTTTTTTTGTATTTTTTTTTTAGTAGAGACGGGGTTTCACCATGTTGACCAGGGTGGTCTCGATCTCTTGACCTCGTGATCCACCCGCCTCGGCCTCCCAAAGTGCTGGGATTACAGGCTTGAGCCACCGTGCCTGGCCAACAGTTAAAATTTTATAAAGAACTTATTTTGAGAGAAGGGGAAAGCACATCGATTACACTGAATGGCAAAACCAAGATGAAAAATAAGCCTTGCTTTATAATTCATATTTTAAAAACTCCTTAGCAGTCAATATATCACATAACTATTCACCTATGTGAAAAGGGCTAAATTTCTAGGCAACAAACTATTCTCTGTGATGAAAATACTGTTTGTGATATAGAAAAAAAAAAAAGCCAAAGAACTGTCCTTGCTTTTTTTTTTTTTTTTTCTTTTAGCAGCTAAAATGCTAGCTGGGATGTCCAACACTTGCTTACTCCCTTTGGCTGTTAATTCTCGCCAGTGGTTCTACTGATAAGCCTTAAGAGTTCAGCTGCTTCTGTTTATAATTAAAGGAGGATACAGACAGACCAATACTAATTTGCAGACAGGTACTAGAAAGACGTGCCAGAGAGAGAGAGAGCACTTTTGTTAGGAGCAGATATTTCTTCACAATTACCAGCCTCAAAGCCATTCTAGGCCACTAGCACAATTTTCTTAGCTCAGAGAAGAACAGGCATGGGCTTGCTGCCCCTCAGGGCTGACGCAGCCATTCACTGCTTGAAGTACTGCTGTGCTTCAGGGCAATTTCCCTTTAGAAA